TGCTAAAAATGCTTTATTTATTTATAAGGTCTAGATAAATTTTGCTATTACCTACTTTTTAGTAGTAGCGTTTATTAATAGTATAGTAATTTTTAAGTAGTTCTTAATTATTTGTCTAACATAGCCTAATAATCCTAAGAATCCTTTTACTTCTTTAACTATTATAGGTTCTAGCTATTTTAGTACCTTTTATATTTTAGCTAGGTTAATCTTTATTTCTTTGCTATTAATTATAAATTTTAAGTATTCTATCTTAGTAACATAGAATTTGCATTTAGAGAGCTGCAGGTGAAGTCTGTACTTTCTAAGCTATTCTAAGATTTTTTGTACCTTCTGTACATAATCTTCTAGGGTGTCTTTTAAATAGATAAGAACGTTATCTAGATATACTAAAGTAAAGACATTAAAGTATAGATTAAGAGCTATGTTAATAATTTACTAGAATATTACTAAGGTATTTATTAAGCTAAATAGCATTACTAATAGTTTATAAAGTCCTTACAGAGTCTAAAACACTGTAAGCTACTTATCTTTCTCTCTTATCCTTATCTTATTAAATCTGTCTTGTACGTTAAATTTTATAAAGTACTAGGTTTCTTTTAACTAGTTTATAATATCCTATATAATTAGTAAGAGAAACTAATCTTAGATTATGTTATTATTTAGAGTTTAGTAGTCTTAACAGACTTAGATTTTTTTTTCTTTCTTTTTTACAAAAACTACAGCTAAGGCTACAGAGCTGTGGCTTTCTTAGATATAGCTTTATGCTAACATTCTGTTAATATATTTCTATAAAGCTTTTTTCTATACCCTTATTAAAAGGTAAAGCCTATAGGTTTTTAAATTATAATTTTTTATTAAGTTAATAGTATAATCCTAAGGCTAGTGTAGTAGTAGCTTTTTAAGGTCTTTAGATGTCTTAAACATATCCTTGTAGTCTTTATACTCTGCTAAGATGCTACCTTTTTTTTAGATTTAAAAGACACTAATTTATTCTACATCTTTATTTACCTTAATTTTTTTATAAGAGACTTTTTTAAGTTTTTCTTTTATTATTTTTATTACCTAAGCTTTTAGCTCTTAGCATAGAAACTTCTAAGGTTTTTTTTTCTTAAAGTAGTAACTACTACTCTGTTTTACTTATTTATAGATTAGGCATTAGTTATTATAGCATGCTAACTAGGTTATATGTGCGTAGTTATTAGAAGTTTTTATAGTTATAGTTCTCTAATTAATTGCAGAGTTATATGTTTTAAGCTAGTTATAGCCTAAAATTATGTTATACTTGCCTCTTAGCTAAAGTATATTTATAGACCTTTAGTCTCTTGTATTAGAAGTTTTAAGGTCCTTTTTATAAGTTTCTAGGTTAATCTATCTTTTACTATACTTAATTAATAATACATTAGCAAGGGTTACCTTAAACAAGTTTTCTTTTATTTAGAATAGTATGCCTTATTTATCTACCTAATTCTTGTTTATTATAGTAAAGGTGCATCTGCTGTCTACAAGGGCTAGTCTAGGCTATCCTTTGTACATAAAGGTAGTTGTTAAACTATGTCCTGCCTCTTATCTTACTATAATTACTGCTAATATATTATATTTAATCTTTTTATTAGAAAAAAGATAAAAGTTAATGTCTTATAAGTTATTATTAAACTTATTTTTTTTTTTATAAATTTAATGTTTTTAATTATAGCAGTTAGCTACTTTGCATTTATAATCTTTAACTAAGTAATGCAATGTTAGATAGTCTTTTTTTCTTACTGCTTTCTACTAAAAATAGTAAAACTTATAGTTGTCTTATTTTTTGCACGCTGCCTACCCTTCCTGCTTGTGTAGAGGGGCTGTTTAGCAGGTGTAATAGTTTATAGTTTTATAGGCTAAGGCTGTTCCCTGCTATAGGCAGCTGTTATAGTTCTTTTCCTATGTAAGCTACTAGCCTGTTTAGTGCTTATTATTCTAGTGCTTAATACAATACTGTTGCGTGCACTAGTACTAGAGGTATAGACAATTATTAGGTCTATGTAATGTGTTAAGAGGGCTCTTCTAAGTCTACTATAGGTATTCTTATGTTTGTACTATTTAAACAGGGTGTCCTTTCTATTAGGAATTATTAGTGCTATAGGTTTTATTTCTGTAGAGTGTGCACTAACTATAGCTCTATTGCATTACTAAGGCCTTTTTACTAATTACTAGGCTTAGGAGTAGCGTCTTAGGCTTTCTAAGTACTAGCTTTAAGACTTTAAACTAGGCAGGTCTGCTTAATTCTTCTAGTTTCTAATCTCTAATCTTAATAAAGAATTGCTATTATTTTTCTTTATCTATAATATTATACTTAACTCTAGCTATTTATTATATAATGTTAAACATAAGGTAGTTATTACTAATGTTTATTTAGTAAAGTAAGACTATGCAATAGCTTAAATAGTTATGTTATAAACTACACTTCTAGCATTTGCATTCTTAAAACTGTTAGAAGAGCTCTTTTACTAAAGTACTAAGGGTCTAGTCTTAGAGGGGGAACTACTTTTTTCTTTTTTAAACATTTATAATATATCCTTAGATCTAAGTTTTTTCTTTATATTTCTTAAAAATTGCAAGATCCTGCAACACTATATTAAGGCTACTAAAATTTTAAATAACTACCTCTTAATACACTTTAAAGTAGTTGTTTAAAGAATAGTTTTCTTTATATTACTAGTAAAGTCTATTATTTAGTCTTTTTAATATTTCTTTATTTATAAGGCTGTATTTAGCAGTAATAGCTTTTATTATTATAGTAGTATTTTTATTCTTCTCTTTTTAAAAGTCTAGGCAGTTTTAGCAGAAATGTCCTACTTTTCTATAGTTTAAGTAGGCCTTATTCTCTAGCTACTTTTATTATTTTTTTATTAAAAGCAGCTTATTATGTCCTAGAACTTAGCTCTTCTTAGAAAGAAGGCTTTATGTATACTTTACATAACTAAGGTCTATTAGTTTTTTATTATATTATAGAAGCTTTTTTTTCTTAGGAATAAACTTTAGTTTCTAGAGAGTTTTTTTTTATTTCTTTTCTTTTTTACACTCTCTATAACAGTTGTTATAAGTTATTACTTATATAATAAAATTTTTAAGAGTAGTTAGTTTTTTACTATGTATAAATTTATTTTTTACTACTTTACTTAGTCTGTTATAGAACATACAGCAGAGGGCCTTCTAGTCTGTCTATCTATAGATAGCTAGCTGCTCTCTAAAGCGTGCTGCATAGTTCTAGACTAGGCTAGTTTTTTATTTTATAGTGTTTAATTTATTAGCTGTAATTTTTTTTTGTTAAAAGTTTTATAAATAGCTATTAGAGCTTTTTTAAAATTTTTAATACTGCTAAATATTTCTTTTGTTTTAAAAGTAAGTGCTTTACTATTTACTCTAAAGTTTATCTAATTGTCTGCATAGGGTTAAAACTAGATTATAAGGGGGCCTTTTAGGTGTAGTCTTATTTAGGATATTATTTCTGTGTTAGTTTAAAATGCTTCTTTATTATATTACATGTAGAGGTAACATCTTATAAAGAATAGTTAAAGGTTCTTTAACAATTCTCTAAAAAGCTTTAGAGAGGCTAGTCTTAAAGTCTTTTTAGCTGCAATGCTTACTTTTTTAGTTAAAATGTTTTAAATTTTTACTAGCTCTACTTATAGTTTATGTATTTAATAGGCTTAGTTAGTTGCTTCCTAGAGGCTTAAAAGTTTAAAAAGGTTCTGTAATTTTATTACTTTTTAGTAAAAGTTAGTAATTTTTTACTTAAGTTTTAGTAATTTACTAACCTTGTTACTAATCTGCTAAAGTTCTCTAATGTTATCCTAGATCACATTAATCTGTTCTGCTAGGACAGCTTTACTTTAGGTAGGAACTTCTGTAGATCCTAATAGCGTAGTGTAGGCTATATTAGAATCTAAGTTGTGTTAAGAGGTATCTATACTTTTTAAAAGAGGTAGTGTTTAATGTTACAATCCTTGCTTTATAGAAGCACTTAGGTCTTATAGTATTCCTAGGGGAGGAGTAGGATAGATAGTAGGGGCTAACTAGTAGGGTGTACAGTCCTACGTATAGGCTATTAGGCTAATAGAGAGTTTCTTAGGGTGACTAGATTGTAGTTTGCCCTATGTGCAGCAGTAGGGAGGCTAGGGTTAAACAGTCCTGTTAGACAGGGTTAGAGGTATATATAGTGCAAGATATACAGATAGTATTGCAGCTCTTTAGAAAGCTAAATGCTACTTAGTCTATGTAAAGAATAAACTAAACATTAAACACACCTTCTAAAGGTTATTTAATGTAGGAACTATATACATGTGCTAGGGCGCTAAGGGGAGTTTAGGCAAGTTTAGATAAGTTTCTTAAGTTAGCCCTACTGCTAACTTATCTAGCTCGCTAGAGCTTGCTAAGCTCCCTTAGGCCTCGCGTCCTATTCCTTATTGGACAACGCATTCTTCTATTACTGCGGGCGGCTGCGCCGCCTCCGTGACCTCCGATTGGTCCATAAGCGAGCCCTGTCCCAATCCGGCTAGATTGTGGAGCACTGCTAGTGGAGTTACGTTGGTCCAACCATAGACCGTAACATGTAATAGGTTAGGCCTATAAGAATCTGTAAGTAGAATAAGAATCTAAATAGAACCTAGCATCTAGAAGGCATTCTATCTTGTTTGTAAATACTAACTATGTATGCTAAATTCTTGCTAATTTAACTAATCTATAGCTTTTAGCTATTGCTTAGTACATATAGTAATGCTAGTAATTCTAGAGGTTTAAGCACCTGTTCATTTTAAATTAGCATCCTGTTACTAGCAACAAGCTGTAGCAGCTAAGTAGATTTTACTAAAGGCACATGTAAGGTCTAAAGAACTAGCATAATAAAAACCACACTAATATACAAGTATAGTAAGCTAGTGTCTAGGGGTATTCGTTAGAGATTAGCTAGCTGTAACGGCGCAGGCAAGACAATGGGTCCGAATGCGGTAGGAATCCACTCAGAGGCATATGGGAGTGTGTGGGGACTCAATGACCTGGGAATTCCATTGACACCTATAGGCCTTGTACAAAGGATATCAGAAAACTACCGAGCTAGCTACGGGCGAGGTACGGCTAAATACATGGGGGAATAGGGGTAACAGCAGGGGGCAGGGCCAGGTCGGGGCCGGGGGCGATACGAGGACCTTCCGGATAGGTTCCGGGCCACCTGAGATGGAACGATTCCTGAGAATCGTTACACTAGCAGCGTTAGAAAGAGCATGAAGTAAACTACAGCAACTTGCAGTAATCTAGAGCAATGTGCAGTCAACTGCGCACACATTAGCTGTAGTGCAGTAGACACTAAGCTAGCTAAGTGTTGTAGTATAAAACCTAATTCTGTAGCAAGAATATAGTTCCTCTTCTTTATAAATTTAACACTGTTATTAGACATTTGCTAGCTGTGGTAAGCTATTACTTTTAGGTTTAATTAACTTTAGAAGAGTATAATCGCTAGTGTAGTATTATATTAGAAGTTATACCTGTCTCTATTGTATAGAGAGTAGACAACATAGAAAATCTTAAAAGCATTAGAAGTCTCTTATCTAAGTAGAGAGTATTAATCGAATAAAAGATTAAGCTTAATGAAAAGTTCTATATATAAAGCTAGAAGAAGTACAAGAAGCATAAGAAACTAGATTAATTGCTAAAGAAAGGCAACTACAGGTTTATATAGTACTAGATGAACCCGTTATGTGACTTAAGGCCACCAATAGCTCTAGGCTGCAGCAGGTGGCGTGGCTAGGCAGCAGTAGGTTAAAGAAGTGTAGGTAGATAGTTAAGTGTAAGAGAAGACTAAAGCATGAAGTAGTAAGTAACTTGTATAATAAAAATATTAAATGTTACAACAACTAGATGAAACAACTATTACTTATAATTAAAATAAAATAGTAAATATAATGTTGCGTTTGCTAAAAGGTCAACCTCCTAGCTAGCACAGCAGAAGGATATATGTAGACGGATAGCTGTACGCGACATATAATTATAAAGCTAATAATTTACCTAGCATTAAAGGTTTCTCTTATACTAATAGTAGTAACTATAGTTAAAAGAAGAAAATAAGAGAGAGAATATAGATAAAAAAACAAGAAAGTAGAAAGGCTAGATAAAGAAAGTACTTATTATTCTTTAACTAGGCAGTAGAATTACTCTCTAGGTAATTATTCTAAAGAGTCTATGCAAAGAGAAGAGAGCAAGCATAGATGAAAAGGATAAGAAGTAGGGAAGGGAAGAGAACTTACCGAGCCTTAACTAGAAGGCATATATACTGTTCTGTACGCAAAAATCAACTGTTGGTTGATTATTAGCACCTTTTTAGTTGTAATGGCGGAGTGGTACAAACCCCCGTCCTTACACTGACTAAGTAGCAGGGTTGCCTTAGAATATTTAAACTAGGTAATGTCGCGGGGTACATAGGCTCCCCGGCCTCTGTAGCTCTGCTCCATACACCCTCTATCCTGCATTCCCTCTCTGTGCAGAAGAGAGAGAAATAATTAAACGAAAAAAGTAAGAATATGTCAGATGGCTTGGGTATTCGCCCGAAGGCGCAGAAGAACTAGTGGCAGGCAACAATTATATTTAACTACGCCCGCTCTCTTTGTGCGAAGAGAGAGGGTTCTTATGTACGCGTAATCCCTAGTGCACAGGCCAGAGGTTACGTTCTAAATTACGTTCAGACAGAATAACTATATACTTTAGTGCTTTTAGTAGATAATAGGTTGAAAAGTGCTAAACCGATTTAATAATAAAAAGAATACTTAGTAGATTGTTCTATCTAGGCTATGCCATATAACTAAGTATAACTATAACTCTTTGTAAAGTGTAGAGGGACAGCAGTCTTACATAGTTAAGCTTAACAGCTTTATAGAGCATATGAAGAAGCTCTCCTCTCCTACTACTCTAACAGTTATGTTGTAACTCTTAGTAAAAGAATAGTTATAGAAAGGGTCTTAATTATTATAGTTATACTGAGTAATAACTCCCCCCTTCCTCTTAGCAGTATAAAAGCACTAACAAAGTAAGAACTTACGAGCCCTGAAAAGCTAAGTTGAAACGTTCTACGATCTGTTGGCCAGCTTCGCTCATACCCCTCTATAACCGCCTTCTACATTCCTCCCCAGTAGGTGGCATCACCTTCTCCACCCTATGATATGCGATCATATCATTGATATACCTCGTCACGTCATTAGCCACCTCGACCCCCCTCCTTACCAACCGCTGCAAGTACTCTCGCTCAGCCCAGATCCACTTCACGCAGCGTAACCAATCGGAAGTAATACGATTCGACTGGGAGTTTTCAACCGCCCTACGACTTGGTTTATTAGTACAATTATACGATTACTAGAGGAGCAGAGGGGACTACGAGTCGTAGTCAGTACGAACTAATTCACTGTACTTACAATACAATTGCTAAGAATTAGTTCGTAGTACGATCAGATAGGGCGGATTTTATGTAATTAACTAACTCACTAAGCTCACTAGCAACTAGCCTACAATAAAGCTAATTCTTTGCAGCTGTAGCGCTTGAATTGTTGCTCCACTAAGGAGATTCCTCTTAGCTAGTATAGAGAGGAAATCAAGGGCTATCTTGAAAACAGTAGGGTACTGTGAACGACCAATCTAGAGCCACCAACCAAGTAGATCTGTATACATTAAACAGGTTATGAGATAGACAATGCGAAAGTAGGTGATTCCTCACTGTTTTTTTTATACAATTATACTAAGAGGCGATACAGAAAACTCTGCTAGTTGCACTGCCTATAGCCCTTACGTGCTCTATACAATGCCAACAACCTCACCTTAGGCCTCTAGTCTAGTAATAACACGACCCGCCTCCTAAGATTTTCTTGGTCCACCCACGTGACCGTGGGCTTAAAGTCAAGCTTGGACCACATCTCTTCTAGAGGGTCTAGTCGCCTGTGTAATTTTTAGTGCGCAGATAACTGCAGAATTAAGTTGCGTCTAAAGTATCTTAACCTACAACGCAAGTTTACGTGTTTCCTGCTTATATACTATTTTAGTATGCCCCCTAAGAACATTAACAATTTATAGCTCTTTTCTTCTAATATAGAGGACCTTCTAACTAGTTTCTATTCCCTAGCTGTTATTAGCTTAACAGCAGCAGATAAGCTCTAACAACTAAACTTACGCCTGCCCTTTAATAAAGCTGTTGCTCTGCTTAAAAATAGTACTAGTTATAACTTAAAGCTTAGTTAAAAACAGGCTTTTAAGAACCTATATAACAATTATAACAGTATACTTGTTGTGTAAACTAGGTATAGAAAGACATATGTTATTATAGAGTATTATGCAACACTAGATTCTTAGTTGCAGCCTATTACTCTTATTATAAGTCCTCTAAAGGTAATTAAATAGGGACAGGTATAAGAGGCTTATAAGCGCTACTGTAGGATTAGTGTTCTCCCTTTTATTTTAGACAGCAATAGCAATACTGTAGAACACTAGCATAATATTGCCTAGGGCAGATATACTTATGTCTAGTTGTTAGCTAAAATTGTAGTTAGAGAAGCCCTAAATAAAAAAAATGTTAATTTGTTAAGTAATTTTATAGTTAGCTATGCTTTTATAAAGTTTACATAGGCAACTATAAGTTTACCTAATAATTTAGCTCCTTTAACTAATACATAGACTTCTCTACCTGCTACCTTACATTCTTAGGATTTATAAGTAAGTAAGGCATATAATTTACTAGCTAGCTATACTAATAATTAACAAGCGCAGCTGTCTATTAATTTCTACCTCTTTTTACAGCTAATTACTTTAGTGTTTTTAAATAGCACTTTAACTTTTTACATACTAACTTTTTTAACTGCATTAATGTCTTAGCTTACTACTTTAACTACACTAAACACTAGTTGTTGTAGAAAAGGCGCGTCTACCTGCGCACATAAACCGCGTGCGCAGCGTGTTACAGCTTTACTAGAGGTTCTAGGGGAGGTAGTCCCTAAGAAGCCTAGACAGACTAAGAATGCACTAATAAGGGCAGTAGTTATAGCTTAAAAGACTACACTAATAAAAACATTTAATAACAGCTATGTTAATAAAGAGAAATTTAAGAGTGTAATTAAGAATTTTAAGTTTAGGCAACACTACTAGCTAATTACTATTAATAAGCTACATCTTTATGCCTGCAACAGCTAGAGAGGGGGCTTCTGTCCTTATTATAGGCAGATATCTAAGCTGCAGGACTAACTTAAGGACTATACTTGCTAGTTTAGTACAACAGCTACTCTTACGCACACTAACTTCTTAGATGTATCCTAGTCTACAGGCTTCTATTATCTCTGCAAAGGCGCTTCTATTTAAACAAAGGTATATTACAGCAACATCTTTATAAAGCTAGAGCTTACCTTTTTAAGCAAGATCTATTTACTCTACTATAAAGTCTTTTATACTATAGTTAATAACACCTTAGCTTATTTTAATTATGTGTTACTAAAAATAATATTCTTTATCTACTTTATTAAAGACACTATAGAACTAGCAGCTAGTATTACTTACTAGTTAAATAATGCTAGTTATATAAACACTATAAATTAGATTATGTAAGTGTATTATAAACAGCTTACACTAGACACTTACATTAATATTAAGTGTTATTTTAATAGCAGTAAGCTTTGCATACTTATTACTATATTTATATATGCGCTAGAAGTTAACCTACTAGGTGTAAAGTATATTACCTAGTTTAGTTACTACTTTCTTAAGAATGCTTTGCAGAAGCTTAGGTAGGTAAACTATAGCAACACTCTTAAAGAAGACAAGGCTGTCTTTATGTAGGCACCTAGTAATAAGGTTATTAGTTCTTTCTAGTATTAAATCTCTATTAAATAGCAAACACCTACGCTAGCACTATATTTCTATTAGGCATAGGCTTTAAAGTTTCTTAGTAAACTTTTTTTAGTTAGTGTTAATAAGCTTACTAACAGCTTTTTTATTAATAGTAGGTAAAAGCTTTACCTACTTAATTATAAAAAGCCTTTGCCTAAAAATGCGCCTAATAGTATTTAGTATAAGCACTATTTATTAGCATTTAAGCATAAGGTTTATAATAGTAGCTGCTATTAGAACATAATTTTAGAGCCCTTTAAAAAAATTTACACTAACCTTTATAATAACTATTCTAGTTATGCTTTAAAGTAGTATTTTATTATGCTATTAAACAATGTTAAGGACAAAGACACTATTAATCCTGTAATAAAGGCTAAAGTTAAAGATGCGCTACTTAGTCTTACTATTACACTTAGAAATAAGAGAGGTACTAGCAGCTAGCTCTAGTCTATCTGTCTAGATCTAAAAGAGCGTGTTCTCTAGAAGAAGAATTGTAATTGCATAGCGTCTTTATACCTGCAGGTTGCAGAGGGCAATTTGTTTTAATAGGCATAGGCAAAAACATACAGGGATTGCGTTATCTCTGTAACTTATGCTGCCTTTAAGATAAAACCTATTACGCCTAGTAATTAACCTTTTATAAGAAAAGCGCTAGCAGTCTTTATAAGGCAGATTACTATTTATCTACTTACTACTCTATTAGTTGCCCCTTTAAGCGCTATAGTGTAAAAAGTGCCCCTTTAAGCTACAACTCTAAACATTAAGCTTACTGCCTGTAGTGCGCTATTAGTAGTTAAGCATGTTAAAAAACAGCGCAGAAAGCGCCTAGTATTAGCAAGTAATTAGGAGAATTGCACGCTAGCACATAGAAGGCAGGTTAGTAGCTAGTTTGTTGCAGCACATAGTGCATGTTAATGTGCTGCAGTAATATGTAGAGTAGCTGCGCTTGTATTTTATTAGCGCAGGTAGCTACTATATTCTGCAACTACATATATATGCATACCTGTAGGGTTTTGTTAAAAGTACATGCGTAGTTAGAAGCTTAATATACACATTAACATAAAAGGTTTATTCTTACATACTGTAGCTAGCAGTAGAGAAGTTTGCTTAGTGTATAAAGCATATTAGATTAATATTATCTTATAACCTTACCTTTTTACTGCGCTAAAATAAGTAGTCTAGCTGCGCACATAAAATGTGTGCGCAGCTAGCTGCAGAATTTAATATATAACTAATAATACATAGATATAATATTTACATAGTTGTAGCTTGTTATTTTATTAGCTTATTAATTAATAAGTAGTAATACAGTAAGTAGGCAAAACATAAGACATTTGCAGTAAAAAGGTAAGACATAAAGTATACATTTATGTGTTAATATATAGTTAGCTGCGCTTATAATATATTAGTGCAGGTAACTATAGAATTACTAAGTAATGCATGTAAGCATATACATTACTAAGTAGTGTAAAGAAATTGTTATTAGGTAAAAGCTTTACATTATTATATATAAAAATTTAAAAATATAAACATTAATAATCTTAATTACTAGAACTAACTTTCTTTAGGTAACTACATAGATTTTTTATTTTTCTAGAAGTTAGCAGCACTAATAGTTACTTAGAAGCTACTAAGTAGAGCTTTCTAGCATAACAACACTCTACACACTAGCCTTCTATGTTCTTTTTAGAGACACAGAAGCTGTCTAGGTAGATAATGCAGCGCAGAGGGCTACTATAATAAGTAGTGTAATAAGTACACAGCTCTATGCAACTAACTTTATAGTACTTATAGATTAGTTAAGTATAGGTAAGGCGCTTACAGTAACCTTCTAAGAGTTATGCAGCACTACTACTAGCCCTAGGTTAAGAGTTATTAGCCTTAGCCTACTTAAAGTTATATCTTTATTTGCTAACTATAGTGTTATAGTTAGTTACCTATTCTAACTAGATCCCCTACTAGGCAACGTTGTTATCTAACGTCTAGGGGGGGAAACCCTTAGGAACGTTAGCTAGTGTCTTTTAATGTACCTGTATATATGTCTTATAGAATGTTAAGCAAAGAAAGATAAGTTTAAGCCCTATAACTAATATTAGCAGCTTTATTATATATTATTATTGTCAGATATGCGCACCTACTGTCAAGACAGGAGGAACGTTTGACGAAAGCTGCTACATAGTACGAGCAATAAGCTCGAACAGTATGTCGCTGCAAATTGCTGCATTTTGCAGCATGTTGCAGCATGTTGCAGCAAATTGCAGCATTTTACAGCATGTTGCAGCAAATTGCAGCAAATTGCAGCATGTTACAGCATTTTGCAGCAAATTGCAGCATGTTGCAAGCTGGTCGCGCATAGGGCTAGTGCGCGAGGGACTCGGATCGGCAGAACAAAAAGCCGAGCAACACGAGTAGAGCAAAAAAAAAGGATCGATAAGTCAACACAATCAATACAATCAATCAATCATCCCATACATCATATCCAAACCCATCATTCATCTCAGGAAGCCCAGAAACAGTGCTTCAATCTGACAATTATATAGATACAACAACTTACTAAGCAACTAAGGCTAGGCCTGCTAGAGCAGGAGTAACACTAGGCACTAGCGCTAGTGCTAGCTCCTAGTTAGCAAGGGCAAAGTTAGGGCTACATAAGTGTTAATATAAGGTATATGTATAAGCAGCATAATAAACATACTTAGGGAGAGAGGGGGGCGTGCAGGGCAGGGAGAACCCCTAGTTAGGAAGCGGAGCCTTCCCTTTATTATTATTATTATTATTATTATTATTATTGCTGCTAAAGATAAGCTAGCTAGACCTATCTTTAACTATAATATTATTATAGTTATAAGAAGAGAGCTAGCTAAGCTTCTCCTTACTATTCTTACTTTATAGCTTAAAGGCTACTAGCTATTTAGGGTGGCTAGGCCCTAGGACTTAGGCAGGATCTGCTGCTATATGTTAGTTACATGCTTATTTAATGTATACATACTCTAAAAGTAGTAAAAAAACTCTAGAATATAATAAAAATAAAGCTAAAAAAATT